GCGATACAAAAAAGCTTGAAAGCACAAATCGGATATATTACATATAACCTTATATACCGAAGCGGCGGGGGGAGCTGATATTTTTCGGGCCCGCACAGATCGAGCAAAGGAAACCGCCGCGGCCTTTATGTTCCACGCGCACGTGTAATATAGCATATAATACACACAGAGAGAAAAGAACCGGTCGTCGAGCGCGAGTCGTTGTGCAGCAGCGGCGGCGGCTGAGAGTTTTTCGCAACATTGGCGGAAATGGGTAAGACCTCCGCGACGTGCGTGTGTAATTGGTCAGAATGTGTGCGTGAGTGTACGCGCCGCAAGAAAAATCGTCGGCTCGTTATAAAAGAAAAAGAGAGGAGACGAGAGATATCATATAAAGAACCGCTCGGAGAGCAGAGCAGAGAGAGAGACTCGAGATCCGCGCGCGCGCGAGCGAGACGCTCGAAGGAGTTTCTTTTATACACGTATCGTTGAGCTGTGCGCAGCTTTAATATAACGTTTCCAAGATGGATTCGATCGTCACGGTATTATAAATATATTTATTTCGCTTTTTTTGGTCTGTTTGCGTCTTTTTTTTTTGGTTAAAAATGTATATCCTTCTCGTTTACCGCATCCGATCTTTATTGAATCATCTCTCGATATTTGATTGAGTTTTTAACGTTTACAAAAGGATGAAACGCGAGCGCGGCGTATCGAGAGCTTGACGAAGCCCGCAACGATTTTTTAATTATTTTGAAACTTTTTTGTGCGTGCAGCGTTGACCGATGCTCGTCGTTGTCTCTACCATGGTACATATATAGAAGCATATATATGCTCATCGTCCTTGTAATTTTTTTCCTCTCCTCTATCTCTTTCTCTTTCTCTCTTTGTAGCACGCGCAGGGCGCACAAAAAAGCGAAAGTTTTATTCGCCCAACGCGAAATATTCATCTACCCGCTATACGTGCCTTTTATTTTTCAATAAAATGCCGCAACGAGCGCGGCAGCAGTAGCAACAACACACCCACACGGTTGCGGATAAAAACCAGATATATACGTAGCCATGGGTCGCTTCGAAAAAGGGGTGTTGTGTATTGCGTGGGCTGCTGCCGGCCACTACGACGACGACGACGACCATCGGTCGAAAAAAAGTCATTACACGCGTGTACGTAACGACGCATACGCTTTTCTCATCTAGGATTTCTCTTTTCTCGAAAGCTCTGCTGCTGCTCTGCCACGGTCCCGCCTCGTCATAATATGCGAAAATGTTCGTATCACATGCTCGCGCGCGAGGGAAAAAATGAGCCGGTGCGCGTTGTTACCGTGCCATACGTATACGCGTAGAGACAAAAATAGTTAATCAAAGCTCTCTCTCTCTCTCTGGCCTGCGTGAACGACCACTATACAGTGGTCTCGTGCTTGTCCTCGTGAGTTTTCGCGATGTATGCTCGGAGGGTGCTATAATGTACGAATGAGAAAAATGAAACTCCTCTAGAATTCTGGATAGATGTGAAACATTTCAATATTAGAGTCTACCTTTACTCGTAAAATTTTTTCCGCGCCCCAACATCGAGTTCGATGTGTCATGGCTGCACTATACACAATATAACATCGGAGCTACCTTTAGCATTTCTCGGTAGTTTTAGTTTGAATAAACACGCGTACAATCGACGTGAAGGCAACCCTAGGATTGTTCATCATCTACTATGTGTGCGTGTGTCAGTGTATGTAAGCAAAAGTTGTCAGAGGGAGCCGCTCGTCTCTCTCTCTCTCTCTCTCTCTCTGTCTCTATTGCAGCGCGGCTGCACAGGCGCGCAGCTTACGTAATTACGCGCCTTGCGCCAATATTGGCCAACCTTTCAAGGATCTCCCAACTGCTGTGTGGCTGATGCTGCCGCTTTGACTGATGTGCTGCTGCCTGTCTATGCATCAATGCCGATGTTGCAGCGGCGGCAGCAGCAGCAGCAGCACTCCTCTTCTCGAGCATCACACAGGACTCGAGTTGTGCGATCTCTCCCTGTACTGCAGTGCTTTGTTGTACACGCGGTAGTGAGTGTACACACTTGTTTCCAGTCGCAATCTGCGTGTATGTACGCGCGCGTAATGCGACGATGAGAAAGCGAGATCGAAGAAAAGCCAATCGGCACGTAAAGTACGTATCGAGTTTATAACGTATAGTCGAACAACGACACTCAAGTATCGATTCAAGGAAAATATAGAGATGTATAACCGATACTTCAGGCTGCGGCGCTTTAAGAAAGCTCGAGGCGCGTGGCAATTAGCGCTAAAGTCGAAATTGGTTAATCGTCGAATTCATTAAGGACCTTACCCCCGAAGCAAATAATTCGAGTTCTCTCTCTCTTTCTTTATCTTCTCACTGCGGCTGTTTTGCTTGACAATGGGCTAAGCCCAACGCGCATGCCTTATATACGCTGGAGAATGTGCCAGGCGCGCGTCTTTTATATAAATCGATGCCATCGTCGCCTCGACTCTCTCTCTACTACTCTTCGCCTCGTGGAAGAAATCCACGAGCCACGCCGCGCCGCCTTTCTCTTGTCCCTAGGGAAGTTTAATAGAGGGTGAAAAGCCTCTGGCGTAACCGCACTGCCAGTGAGCGAGCGAAAGACCTTTTTTCACGTTACTTTACTCGCGCGATGCTCTCTTTTTTTCTTCTCTTTCTCTCTCTTCCTTTTTTTTCGGTGGAGAAAAAAGACTTACGCGGGAGGTTTCTCTCCACGGTCATCGCTGTGAGATTGCCTTGCGCGCGGGCGCGTACGCGTCTGCGGTGTGCGAAGAAAAAAGAGGGAGGCGAAAAAAAAATTGGCGTTATAGTGTGGAGAGAAAGTGAGTTGTGCGTGGTGGGTGGGAATTTTGAGAGAGAGAAGCGAGCCGCTGCCGTATACGTATATACAAAAGTAAAGGAGGGTGACGATGAAAGTGAGATCATTTATTTTCCGCGCCCTCCCTCAAGGATGAGATTATTTCATTTAAGTTTTGTAATCGTTTTATCTTAGACTCGTTTACTTGAGTAAATATGCCGGTGTAAAAAAAAGAAGAAGAAAGAATATCGGATCGAAACGTTGCGCTTTGTTTACCTTCGGACAGTGCAGCAGCAGATTGGCCATATAAAAAAGGAACAATCACGGTGTCTGTGCGTGTGTACAATAATCTTCGATGAATGAAAAATCAGAGCACGTGAAAAAAGAAGAAGATTCGCTCGCACGTGCGAGGCATATTTGTTTGATTTTTGTGTGCATTCAACACTCGAGCTGCATGGTGTATAGCCGATACAAGCCGTCGGTGGATTTCCTCTTTCTCGACACCAAGCGAGACTAGCTCGTTTTCTCAATTCTCTTATTCCCCGCGCTTCTCCGTCACTTTTTTGTCATACATACTCAACAACAGCAGCAGCAGCAGCAGCAGCAGCTTGGCTAAGACAAAAGCGAAAAGAGGTTTCTTTGTCGTGCGCTGATTGATAAAAAGGAAGAAAAAAATTCTAGAGGTCGTTTTGGCGTACATGTATGCGGCAGCAAACTCACACGCGGCATTTCCAACGTTTGTATCGATTTGCTCGAGATATTATTTGTAAAATCTAGCACTTGTATGTATCTCTCGTATAAGCACTCTTGAGAGACGAGAGAGAGAAAGAGAGAATAGCACTCGACTCGAAGCATCCACTATCCTCCCTCGACAAAAAGAGAAAAGTATATAAAAAAGAACAAAAAAAGCAAGAGAGAGAGAAGGAAACGGGGAAAAGAAACAGCTTATCGTCGAAAATTCCGTTCACTTTATACACCAGAGTTCTATATACACTCTCTGCATCTCATGGAAAACTCTGTGTGCGCGCAGCAAGCCGCACGAGAAAGAGAGCGGGAGGGAAGCAAAAAAATTGCTCGCACTATACACAGAGTGAGAGTGAGTGAAATCGATCGGATCGCCATTTGCTGTATACCCTACAGGGCACACTAGAGCGATGCGAATCACGCTGCTTCTACTTCTACTTCTGCTGCTGCTGCGGCAACGGTTTATTTGCCCCTCTCACTCCGAGAGTGAGCGAGAGAGAGAATCAACCCCTACTGTACGACGACGACGACCTCTTTCACCCTCTTCCGGCTTGCGTGTGCTACGCTATGTGAATTTCTCTCTCTCTCTCTCTCTCTTTCTCTCTCTCGTCGTCAGATGAGATTGCCCCGCGGGCTTTTAGTACGTGTGCATGAACGATACTGCTAGTACTACTATGTATATGTGCCCCGTGCACAGCACATCGGAAGTAGTGCTTGTGTGCGCGCGAGCTCTTCCTCTTGGCGCGCGGCGGAGTAGTTTGAAATTTTCCAGAAATAATACCGCCTGCTGCTGCTGCTGCTGCTGCACTCACCCCCACGTATGCATAATATAATATTACAAAAAGGGGAAACGAGCAATTTTAGGCTAGACAAATTATAATGACTGTTCCATCGGTCATCAATGATATGCACGATACGTTAGAAGGAACAATTTTTGTGGTTGTTGCAATGTGTCAAAAAAAGAGAAAATGTAAATGATACACACAATCGAGCTACTTATATAGTATATAGTGCGACATAAAGAACGACAACGCAAAAAAAAGAAGAGGCTATAGGGGAGAAAGGAAGCGACGACTCATACATACACATATACAACCGTGTGTATATGTGTAGCGAAAAAGCTCTAAAAGCTAAAAGAGAGAAAGATACTGCGGCGCGCACGCGAGCGTGCATACGCATCTAGCTAAATCCCATGGGGGAATCGCGCGCGTCTAATATAATACCCGAGATGTACGTGTGTGTGTGTGTGATATACAACACGTAGAAAAAAATAAATTCGTCGACAAGAAAATGGCGCATACGGGGGCGATAAAAAGCGCCCATGTTTTCTCAGATGCACCCCGTCTCGTGCGCGTAGTTCCTTGCGACAATTAACTCCAGATACTGATAATCTTTCATGTACATAATATACACGTGTAAGCTCTCCGCAAGCTGCATCTAATCATAACAATTTTTTTTGCAGGTACGGTGCTGGCTACGATCTGGCGGCGCGGCGCAAGAACGCCACGAGAGAGTCCACGGCCACGCTCAAGGCCTGGCTGAACGAGCACAAGAAGAATCCCTACCCGACCAAAGGCGAGAAGATCATGTTGGCCATCATCACGAAGATGACGCTCACACAGGTCTCGACGTGGTTCGCCAATGCCCGGAGACGGCTCAAAAAGGAGAACAAAATGACGTGGGAGCCGAAGAACAAGACGGACGACGACGACGACGCGGCCCTCAGCGACTCCGAGGACAACAAGGACAAGGACGACATGCAGGGCGTCGTCGACCAACAGAGGCATCACGGCCATCACCAGCAGCACCAGGACAACAGAATCGGCGCCGACGATCATCATCATCATCATCACAGGCGAGGATTAGACGACAATGGTAAGAGATATAGAGACGTTCAAATGTACTTATGTGTAGTGTAACCCGAAAGCTTAATTGACTCAAAAATAAATAGCCGACCTCGACCGCGTGTACCTATATATAATACGTGTACAGCATGTCCAGCGTGTTCGGACACACACCGTTATACGTATGTATCACCCTGGAATGATACATTCGATTGCGATGATCACCTTCCTGCGGCAAGGCAAACACGGGCCGAGATTACACTTAGCACTTCTATATATCACTGCTGGTCTCACTCACTCTCTGTCTCTCTCTCTCTCTCTTTGGCTGGCTCGTACAGTTAACGAGAGTTATAGGGTTTTCGGGAGCTTTTCGAGGCTCGTAGCCGACCCCCTGTACTATACGCACGCGGTGCGCCCAGCCTCGTCGGCGGGCAATACGTCAAAAGCCATCTGCCCGGGGTGTCTCTCTCTCTCTCCCCCGCACTGGTGTGCGGCAGGACGCGACCAATCGGCCTGACACCAAAGTCACGCGCACCGATATTATCATTGAGCTGCTCTGCTGATGCTGCTGCTCCCCTTTGATATTGCCGTTAATGAAATAATCGATCCCTGTAGCAATCCATAGCAGCAGCGGCAGTAGAATGTGTACATTTCCTCCCCATCGTATCCAAGGCATGATCTCCCTTATATATAATAATACGTGACTGCCCTTCGACCCCTCAAAGCTCAGTCAAAGCTCTCTTAACCCGTTCTAGCTAACTCTCAAAATGAACTTATTATTCTAGTTAGCCCCGCGATTGAATTTTCCAATTGGGGAAAACACGCGTAAATTCATTTCGTCTCCGTGTACGTATTCGTTTATGTACGTGCAAGGTGCAGATTTTTCCGATACATCACATTATCTTGCATTTCTCTCTAACTGTATTGCTTCGGTGCACTCGCGCATCCACACAGACGTATAAATATGTTCGACTGTCGTAAAGGGCGTACACACGTATATTGTGGGTAAACACCAAAGTGACGGGCTGTGGCTCTCCACAGCTATATAACACGAAAAGATTAATGGCCTCTCTCTCTCTCTCTCTCTGCGTATGTATTGCGACTTGCGAAGTTGCTGCAGCAGCAGCCCCCTGTAGCGCGTGCGACCTGGTGCGTGATTTCCCTTACTCTTTTTCTTCCTTTTTTTTTCTTTCTTCATCCTCGTTCATCCTTCTCTCTTACTCTCTCGCGCGTATGGATGTGAGAGCAAAATCGATCGGATGCTCGAACGCGCGCCGTACATACGGCGCTGAACGTAAAAATATTAGTCTGATAAAATGCCTCGGAATCGTATGCTATTAGTTATTATACGAGCTTCCATTGCTCGCAGCAGCGATATACACACTATAGCCGCGCGCATTATATACAGCTGGAGATCGAGTCTCGCGAAAGCGCGTAATATTTCTGCGCCTCGGCTGCGGTGCGCGCAATGTCTTTCTCGTGTATGTAATGCATATATTGTGACTATGTACGAGGCTTGTGTGTGTGTGTTGCGTGTGCGAGATGTCTTGATTTAGTCAGCGCGAGAGTTAACGTATGCGTGTACGTACGGCGCATTATGTGCGTTATTTATATTATTAATTTGCGAAGATACGTCATCGTGTTTACGCTTTTGAAAATTCGGGTTGAAAATATTGATAATGGTAGAATTGGAAATTGAACGATTCGAACTTGCGATGCCTCCTTCTACTTGTCATAGATTTTTATTGCCTTTGATAAAAACACATGGACAGTTCATCCAGCTAGCTGTCAAATCAAGTTAAAAAAAAAAAAAAAAAACGAGAAATCTCGTGTCGCAAGCTCTACCAGAAAACTTATCGCAAAAATTCCTGCCCTATATTGTAGACACAGAACAAGCTCGAAGCGATAGGCCATACACGTTATTACAGGAGGCATGGCGAGTGGCCAGTTGACTGTCTCGGTAGCAACGCGCGCGCGCATATAAAGACGCGCGTTTCGCAACGACGCGACATGGGCGAGACCACAATGACACGGAGCAAGGTCCTAAACGGCTCTCCGCTGCTGCCCAATAGCTACGCACGCACCACTCGCTAATGTATCAACGTATAAGCCACAACGGCTTGGCTCGCGTACTTCGCTCGCTCGTATATGAAACGCTATAAATTGGCGCGCGGGCACGACTCCGTAAGGAGCCATCGGTTTCACTCGAACGTATAACCATGCCCGACCGTGCACGCATATAAACACACGCACTATAGTATGCATCGATTAAATTGTTAACGTCCATCGAGCGATTATTGTTATTATTTTTACGAGGCCAGGTTGGGCGCCGCAAGCGGGGTCAATGCAATATGGCGAAGGTTGAAAAGTTAAAGAGCCACTTGTGGACCCGTCCCGATATACTGCGCGCCAAGAGTATCTATTTAGTTGTCAAAAGAGCCATAAGCTCAGTTCTCTTCTATACACACACAAGAGAGCTGCTGCTACTGCTTACTTTGCCCTGATGCTGCTGGGCTCTCCATTACGGGCTGCTCACTTGGCAGGCGTCAAGTCGGGAGCGCGCTCTCTATTTCGAGCCTCGGCTCTGGCCGCCACTGACGCCCTTCTTGGGGGAATTATCGCCTGACGAGCCATCAAGCAAACCCTCGTCGTCGTCGTCGTCGTTCTCGAGCCTCTTAATGAAATTCTCCGGCACCCCGCTTTGCTGCCACTGCTGCTGCTGCTGCTGCTGCTGCTGCTGCTCTCACTCGACTGGTGTAGGTAATACCACCCTGCGGCAGAAGGTCCTGCCGCACGCGCGAACTAACCTACGAAGCAGGGTTAGCAGTGGTATAGTAGCGCCTCCAGGGAGGGTAAGCAAGACACAGAGAATCTTTCGAGCCCGGAGAGAGAGCTTATAGGAAGGAGAGAAGCTAGGCTCACTCGAGAGTGAAATCTCGCGCCAAGTCCCATAGCATAGATATTCGCCTTCCTTGGCCATGAGTTTAGACTCACACTCCCTTTTCACAGCTTCTGCCCCGCTCGCTCGCAGTTCGTTAGATTAGGACGTGTGTGTGTGAGTTTGTGCGCGTATAAGTTCGCCGAGGGAATCGGCTTGACTGCTCTATTTCGCCCTATATTCTCGATATATTTATACACACGCGCACGGAGACCGCTGCCGTATCCACAACACAGGGGCCACTGAATACACGTTAATTATTAATACCTGATACGTATGAGATGTGTGTTTTGAACTCATCGAAAGAATTAAGATCCGCGTATACCAGAGCGTGAACTTGGATAATACCAAGCCGACACGCCCGAGTCTTAATGTTCTTTCGCTGTTAACTAAGTGGACGCGTCTCGCGCAACTTGCTCATATCTCTATACATTTAGGAGAACTGGACGCAGCAGTACGAGTACTTTCGGCATTGAATGGGGACTTTTGTCCGCTACACTTACCCTAGCTCTTTTTTGTCTTCAGCCCTCCTCGCTCTTAAGTTTATACACCGCACACAAGAAAAACGCGCCAAGAAGTTGAGGAAAGTTTGTTTGAACTTTTCTGTACCGTGCTTGATAGGAAGAGAGAGAGAGAGATAGCCAGAGTCGAGGTTATATATCACACCCTGAGCTCGAGAATCTTCGAGTGTTGTACTCTCCGTTTGACGACTTCGGCGGTCGATACGCGTATTATATAAACTCGGCTATACGTATACAACTAGAGCGGTAAAATGCAACCGAAAATATTTTTTTTTCCTCAAAACTACCAAATATGAGAGTAATCTAACGGTTAAAACTGTTCTTGTGTTCTCGGTTGTGGTGGTGGTTCTCTCCTCCCAAAGAACCCATGCGTCACGTGAAAGCTGAACACATGCAGCACGACAAAGATCTCGACGACGACGACGATCTGGACCTCGAGGACGATCCACGTCGGGTTAACGAGCAGCAGCACTCCTACCACCACTCGATCCACCACCCGCTGCACCATCATCATCCCTACGGCCCGACAGACGATCATCATCATCTCAAGGACGACGTGATCAAGTCCGACTGCGGCGCCGGTGTGCCGATCCCGGCGACGAAGCCAAAAATCTGGTCACTGGCCGACACAGCCGCCTGCAAAACGCCGCCACCGCCGCATCACCAGTACCACATACACCACCATCCGCAGCAACAACAGCAGCAACAGCAACAGCAACTGACCCCGCAGCAACAACACTACAATCAACAGCAACAGTCGCAACATTTGCAACAGCAGCAGCAGCAGCAGCAGCAGCAGCAGCAGCAGCATCAGCAACAGTCTCATCAGCATCCCCACCATCACCTGTCGAGTCAATCAAGCCACCATCACTCGCAGCAACCTTGGCTGGGTAGCGGTGGCGGCGGTTCCGGCGTGGGGGACGCCAGCGGTCTGGGTAACTTCGCGCTGCCCAGCTCGGCCTCGATGAGCCCGTCCAGCGCCGCGACCGCGCCCTACTCGAGCACGTCCGCGCGCTACGGCGGCTTCCTGTCCTCGTCCTCGGGCGGCCAGCTGCACTACAACCCAAACTCGACGTCGGGCTCGAGCGGCGCCTCATCCTCGGCAGCGGCGGCGGGGTTTCCCGAGGTTGGTACGGATACCCCGCCGCAGACGCCGCCCAATATGAAGGTGGCTACGCCGAACGGCGTGATCCAGGGCCCTCCGACCGGGTACTGCCCTGGTGGCAGCAGCAGTAGTAACGGCAGCAGCAACAGCGCCAGTAATCCCGCCGTCAATCCCGGTCATTACGGCTCGGCCTCCGCCAGTCACGCCGCGGCCGCCGCCGTCGCCGCGAGCTACATGCAGCAGGCGCAGGGCAACGGCGCGCTCGGGCCCGGTCCCAACGGCAACGCCGCGAGCTACAACTCGAGGCTGCAGAACTCGCCGCACAAGGACTTCGGGGCGGTCACACCGACGCAGAACTCGATGCTGCATCAGCACCAGACCACTGCCAGTCTCCCGCCGACGGAAGCCACCACCGCTTTCAAACCGTTTTACAAAGGGTCGGTGTCAATTCCTCACTTTTCCCAATCAATTTTCCTACGCGATAATTCTCATACTTTATGACTGAACTTGATTTTCACGTATCGTGTTACAGGTCACAAGCGGTTGGCGGTGGTTTCGTATCACCTGTCTAAAACGACGCTGGGATCAGCGCAGAGAGATTCACGGCCGTCTACAAGGTGTGTAACACATATTTTTTTACTTTCTTTCCCTCAATATTTTATCTTGTATTATCAATAAAAATCGATTACAAGCGATCTCTCGCTCATTCGAATTCCAACCGAACCCTCGATGTCATCCATTATTGCAAAAGCAACATTAGGCGTGTCGGAGAGAGAAAAAAAGAAGAAAAGAGAGACAGAAATGTTTCGCAACCGATGATATAGGAGGTCGACCGGAAAGTCAAAACGGTACTCTCTCTGTTATCCGATCTGCAATCACGTGGACACTTTACATACACACGTATTGGTGCGTTAACGAAAAGGTCTCAAAGTTAAATCTTGTCTCGTCGTTGTCGCGGACACCTCGAGAAGACAATCGATAAGAAATTAATATACCTCAAGACAGGGTAAAGGGGGGCATGGTTGATTGGTCGTTATATAGTCCGTCCGTCTTCGAAGCTCCGAAACGAGAGACCTCGAAATAATAGCAGCGGCAGCCACTCCATTGCGTCTTGTGGGTTCCCCACCATTGCCCGGAGAGCCGAGTAGAGTCTCCTTCGTGCACGAGAGCAAATATATATGCGTATATAATACATGTATACACGGTTGGGTTATACGTGTGGGCAGCCTGAGTAAGAAAGACGCGGTTGCGAAGAGAGGGGCTATCGCCACCTTCCTTGACAGTAACAAATGGACGAAGATTTCAATCGCTGAATGGAATCAACGTGTTCACTCTCTCACGTTGTAAAATCGTGGTTGAGCAGTGGTCCTGTATACTCGTTCCGTCGTGCCTCTCGAGAGTCTGCAGCGAATATACACACACACACACGCGTGCGCGTGCGCAGAGACACACGCAAACCGTATATCCACGGGTGTTTGTAATTTTCTCGTTCTGCTGCAAACTCATTCAGCTTCTAGTTGTTGCAGCCCCGTGGCTCGTATAACACATTCTCGCGCCCGTTTGTCCACCGATCAGTCAAAGCTCGACTCTTTGTACCTTTTTTTTTGTCACGCGTTCAGCATTTTCTCGAAACGTCGCGCGATACGTGCACGCTAAACTAGAAAGCATATCGCTCTACATAACTGCGACAGAAACGACTCGCCGCGAGCTTCGGCCACAATGAATCATTTTAACGCGCCTCGACATTTGGGAAAGTTGACAAGTTGCAACTTTTCTCTCTGGAGTTTGATATTTTATCAGTTTCCGACGTTGACGCAGTGTATATGATATATATTTTGCGCCGAGCCGAGGTGTAAAACAAAGTTTTATCCCCGTGCCGTGTAAATTTAGTATCTCTCCTCTTCTCTCGATTCTCAACGCGGAGCGAGCGAGAGAAGGAGAGCTCTCGTCGGCATTACATCCCAATTAGTTACTCGAAGCAAGTTAAACAGTCAGCGCGACAACAATCCTTTTTCGCAGGCGGCATACAGCCTCCTCTGTATATAAACGCGAGCGCGGCGGGGCTGTATTACGGGAGAGAGAGAGAGAGAGACAAACCGAGCAAAGGACCCCAAAGAGACGTCTGATGGACGAGGCCGATTAAGCGCATTGTTACAAAGCGTACCCCCGAGGCGCGAGTTATTTACACCTGAGGAGAAGCAGCGGCAGCTTCTCCGCCGATCACACACGTATACCGCCGAGCCGAAAATTCTCCTGCACGCGTTTTTACCTGCTTGCGCACAAAGTAACAAACAGGAAGGACGAGTTTGTGCGCGCGAGGAAAAGATTAACGAAAAGAAACAGTAAAAAAAGGAGAGAGAAAGAAGAAAAAAGAATGAACGAAAAAGAAGAATGGTATAAAACGGCAAAAGAGAGCTTGCTGCTGTAGCTGCTGCTGCTGGTGCACATTTCTTTCAGGTGGCCGGGTGTTAGTGGGACATCCTTATCTGGGCGTTGATCGGATCTTAATTTACAGCCCAGTCCCAAATAAACTAGTTTTCACTGTCGTCACCTCTTCTCTCTTCTCTCTCCGTTTCTGTCTCTCTCTCTCGTTCTCCTCCCCATCGTTGCCATGCTCGCAGCTCTTGGCTCTCTCAGCTCTCTTTCATATAATATTGTCCATGAATATAGATTATGTTGCTTTGGCAGTGCTTGGCTTTTATGTGCGTACCAAAATATATGTATACCTCTCTCAGGAAAAAGAAATCAAGGAGGAAGGAAGAGAAGAGGCATTATTATATATACCTACCCGGTGGCTTCGGGAGAGAGAGAGAGGCGGTAATTGCCAATTAGCGGGGCGGATATTTAATTGCTATTGAAAGCAGAAAGGTAGGGGCCAGAGGTGGTCTCGCTCGTTCAGTCTCTCTCTCTCTCTCTCAGTGAGTAGAATAATGGCCAAGAGAGGACCTTCGCACTATACTTTCGTGTACATCCTCTTAATAAATTTTATCGCAACGAGCTGCTGCTGCTGCTGCTGCTGAAAAGAGAGGCGACTTTTTTATGCGACTCTGCGTGTTGGTTTTTGCTTGACTCTTTTTTTCGGGTGCTTATTGGGTGAAAGAAAGAGGCGTAAAAGATTCTTTGTGCTGTTTGTATATGTTGCTGCTGCTGCTGTTGCTGATGCTGGCCTGCAATATGAGAGACGTTTCGCCTTCTTGGGCTCGTTTCAGTGGATTACAAATAGAGAATATTCTTTTTTTCTTTTTCTTCTTCCTCCTTTATTAAGCCTGATGGCTCATTCGCTGCGGATTATTTCACGGCTCGGCTCATTTGTTTTCTTACCCAACGACGTTTTTTTTCGGACTCATTAAGGATGATGCGACGACCAACCTTTCCTCTGAGATTCTCTCTATACAGGCACGGTATCGCTCTTGCAAAACTTCTCATCTCGAATTTATAAATTGCGTTGCGTCTTATATACCGTAACATCTCGTGTGGTAAGATATTAAAAAATTCCCATGTGCCAGCTCGATGCGTATATTTGTATTGACGGCACTGTCAATCTCGACAAACGAGTTCATTAAACGATTATTACGTTTACTCAAAGAATCAATAAGGTTGAGAAAAGTCTACGACGAGATTCCGCACTTGCGCATTTATCTATTATTTCAAAGTTGCCACTTGCAGATTTGTAGATAAAAGTGCTTGCCATCTAGTGCTGGAAGCTAACTTTAATTTGGATCGAATATTCGTACAATATTTTCATAAAATTTTTTGTATAAAGTAATGTAACTAATTGGCCTAATGCAACTGCAACGCAACTAATGCAACAATATTGTTCGTTCTACTTTAGAGAATGAAAAAAAAACGGTTATTTATAGTTGATTGCCAAAGCTCGAATTGACCCAAGCTGCACGCGCGCAGTCACTGTTGGAGAATCACTTGCTGCAATTGTGTGGTATATAGGCAAAGCTCGCACAGTGACCCCCCTCTTTGTACATATCTCCAAATGCAAATTCACTCCGAAACAGTTCCCTTTCTGGTGGCCTCTCTGTGCACTGCGCGCTGCTATATACACACGCTATTATACAGAGTAATTAAATCGAATGCGCCTCTTGCCTCAGCGTGCAGTATGTATACACCTATAGTATACGCTTATAATATATACGCAAATGTGACGCGCGAACGTAGCCAAGTTATCCTCTAATTAAACGAGCTGCTATATTGTACTGCCGCTTCTTTGGCCTGCTGCTGCTGCTGCTGCTGCTGCTGTTGCCTGTGTATCTCTCGCTTCTCTGCGCGCCTTGTTTATATCGTGTAGCCCATACATATACCTGCCATGGTAGCGGGACTAGCACACGCGCAACTCTGTGTGTATGTGTGTGTATAATAAATCGATCCTGGTTTTTCGTGACAATTGTTGCGAGCGTGCTCCGCGCGTGCTTGCATATCTGTCAATTATACAGCGCAGCTCGTATCCCTTCGCGTGAAGAAAAAAAAACCGACGAAGAAGAGGAAATAGGTCGACGACAATATCGCGCGCACACTCAATGATATATCTTCCGCTTATAAAAAAAGTACGTATTTGCTTAGTCAATCGCTGCTGCTGCTGCTCACGCTCGTCCGTTTATCTCGCGTTTCGGGCAATTTATCAAGTCGAATCACGGTGGCGCACTATAACCAGGATTGAGTCAGACTTTCGTCTTGTATTTGTGTGAATATGTGTGTGTATGTATAGCTAGTTGGCGACGAGTTTTCACACCGATTTGTCGTTTATATCGGAGAGCTGTGTGTGCGCGACGAGCGAGAATCGAGTATAATTCATCGGCCGAGAGAGCGTATAAAACATACACATACGATATGTGTGTACAATACGGTGTACACAGGTAAACGGGTGCGCGCGCGAGCGGGCTTATAAATTAATTGGCGATCTGATAAACGATCTCATACGATCTTGTATCGATCGGTGTTTTGCAAGCAGTTTCCTTATAAATATATATTCTCAGAGATACACGAGAGAACGGCTAAGTGAGAGAGAGAGAGAGCTGCTGCTGCTCAGAGCTAAATTCGCAATTACGCGCGCAAAAAATCTCATTACCCATACGGAACGTCTCTCTGGCGGACTCGCGATAAGCTCGAGCCAGAGGTTCTGTATATGTATACAGTACGATATATAAAGACAGATATAACACGAGATAAGTGGCGATGCGCGTGCGTGCGACGAAGCGTACGGTGGACGGTATATAAGAAACAACGCAAAAAAAGTAAAGAAAAATGAATGAACGAAAAAATAAAATAAAATAAAAAAATATAAAAAATGCGTGAGAAAAAAAGTTCAGAGCGGATAATACAATGCTTCGCGATGACCAAAAAAAGCTCGCGAAGGAGAGCGCGCTAAGATAACCCGCGTGGATGTGTGTGTGTATTTATAAAACGCGCGTGGTCGAGAGCAGCTCGCTCTCGAGGTTCACTGCAAGTCTCGAAAAACGCGCGCGTTCGCATTGTAATTCGAAATGTGAAGGTATGTTAAAATGGCAAGCGAGCGAGAAAGAAGGTAAGAAAGAACGAGAGAGAGAGAGAGAGAGAACCGCTCCTTCTATAGCGAGGCCTCGGTAGAGCGCGCGCAAACGAGATTCCAGCGATTCCACGATCCGTATAAGATTAATCCCTATATTGCCCGAGCGACTACTCGGCCTTTCTCGACGAGCTGCGCGCGAGCTTTTATAATACTTTGTACCTTGTATAAATATTAGCGCGCATAAACTTTTCCTCGTGGATGAAAAACAAAATAATAGCTATAACGATGACAAAAAAGCTCGGCGATAACGAGAGGAAGAAAAAAAACGAGGAAACAAAAATGACCGGAGCGAGGAAATAATTTCATCGAATGATTAATCTATGAGGCGTAGTAAGCGAGTTTACGTTGCGTGCGCTCCTCTCTCCTCTATGTATCTAAAACTCATCGATCATCGTTCGCTTTGGCAAATTCAAAATTGATAGTTCCTATCCGGTGTGCGGATGTTTATCAAAACGTCCCGATGTATAGGCGTACTGATGAGTTTGGCCATTAGAAAAGGGCACGAGTCTTTGATTATTTAATCGTCGAACGATTGCGCGTGCATAGAGTAGGCATGGGAGAGCGTATTAGCTGTCTTTATCGGTAAAAACAAAGTACGATTCGCGACGATGAGTGCATGAATGTATAATAGACAGATATATAGGTTGCAGTGCACTGAACAAGACTCGCGGCCTCCCATGAAGTGATCCTCTTTTCCAACTCTCTTTCTCTCTCTCTTTGCTGTAAGAGAGACAGTTACTCGTCGACCGGTTTACCCTCTCCCGCCGTCGCCGCAATGGTGCGAAAAGATTGTCTCTCTCTCTCTTTCTCTTTCTCTACCTATGCGCACCTTCTTTCTTCACACTTAGTCTTACCTATATATGTATTCCGTCACGTACGCGTGTGCACTCGGCTAATTGGCGATTTTCGCCATCGCGCACATAGCTCTCTATATACAGTCGGAAGCTGCACCGACGGATCTTGATATTTGCCGCCTGCGCTGCTGCCGTCGCCGCCGCCACCACCGACGACGACGAGCTAGTTCCCGCGGTTTTTCGCGCTAGCAGTTTATACTCTGAACTCTCGGCTACCGAGCGTTTCATATATATAGAAAATAAACTCGTACGGTATATAGGTACCTGCAACTGTCGTTGCCTAGAAGGATATTTTCCGCGAAAGTCGATTATAAGCCTCGCTCAGGATTGCGCCGAACGTATCATATGTGTGTCTGCGTGTGTGTATATGAACTCATACTCGTACATGTATTTCTTACAAATGGGCAAATACACGGCACATTCACGTGTGCGAGAGAAGAGTAGCGTTAGTACATACGATCTCGCGAGCAAAGCTCTCGAGCCAACGACGATCGACACGGCTGATATCTCCTCGCGCAGCGCAGTTGTGGCACTGCCAGAGACGTGAGAATATAAGAGAGAATCTGCCGTTAACGAGCGGCCCTTTTAATCTCTCTCCCTCTTTCTCGTCTCGTCCGTGTCCGCGATGCGCTCCGAAGTTCACACCTTTTGGAATCGAGATCTTCAATTTATACCTCTCTATATATGAGCCTCGAGTACACTCACACGCTGCACAGTGCAAATGCGCAGCACAGATCGCTGCAGGCGCCTAGATCGCGCGCACTTGATTATTTACAAAGCTGGAAAGATACGACTTGTAGATCGTGATTTGAAACGCGTGCCCGCGCTGCGCTGCCTTCGCCTTCCCCCGCTGACTTACGCCGTCGTCGAGTTTTCCGCGCGGCCGCAACGACGATCGTCGAGCTTATAAATTCCAATGACTCGATTCGAATTTCTCGGCTTTTAAATCTCCGCTTGACTAATTGCGCTCGCCGTGCCTTCTCGTCGTCGTCGCTTCCTTTCCTTTTACCCGACGGGTGGAGTTGCTGCCGCTGGCAAGTTGCTAATGAAAATTGCTCAATCTAATCGTCTCTTCGCTCGTATAAGCGTCGCTCGACGCCGCACCACCACCGTTCGCTGCTGCCGTGCCAGTTCGTTGCGCAATCGAATAGCTGAATAAATCGACTCCGGGATAACTCAATCAATTTTATCCTATCGAATAATTAGTCGCACGAGAAAATGTCATTTTCACTGCGCATACGCGTGCAAAGCGAGATAAAGACGTATAAGCGCGCTTGTTGACACAATTGTCGAGACGACTTTGAATATCGTATACATGATTTTATAAATATGCATTCGATTTTAATAAATCAAAATTAAAAGACATGGTAATTTTTTTATGTTCCAGGTTAACCCGCTATTATAACTTATGAAGTGCAAAACGAAAAGAGCGAGCGAACGAGGAGAAAAAAAAGTGAAATATATTGTGATCATCGGCATGAAAACAACGTTGATACCTGCCAACTGTCGCGCGCGCGACGCAATTGACGATGCAGACAGTGTATTACGATAATAATACGAAAATCCTACCTCTCGCATGAAAAAACGTCTCTTTTCTCGTATGTAGCGCGAGAGTCGCGCAACGTGCGTCGCGATTACGAGACACGAGCTATAATATATATTATATATATATATATACAGACTGAAGATTACACTATACAATATTACAATTTAAATGCGTGGTAAATGCGGACGAATAAATGAGTGAGAGATAAATAAATTAAGTCAACGCGACTCGTTAGATGAAAGAAGAAAAAATTTTTGATTTTAAATAATTATTAAAATGCAAAGAGTATCCGTCGGATGAAGTAAATTTTTATTATTTCGTTCCTTTTATGCGCGAAAGATAGAGAGAGATTTTACTTTATTGTATTGTTTTTAAAGTCACTGAATTTATTCACTGTAATAATAACTTAATAAAATACATATTTATGGGCAACGTGCAAAGCGGAGCTGTAAAACGCATTGGATTTACGACGCGATGCAGAGACGTCGAAAAGGGATACAAAAAGGAACTATTGTTGAATATTAAATATAATTGTTCATTAGTCGATATGAAGAGTGAAAAAAAAGTATGATTATTTTGATTATCTCGAAAGAAGCGTAATTTTTATCGATGCATTGATTACGTTTTATAAATATATGTCAATATATTGGATAAAAATGAAGTCACGCTGAAGTTACTCTGGCAACGCTACTATATCGAAGCGCGCAGAGAGTATCTTTTCTTCTTTTTTTCCTTTTTTTTTTAATCTTCTGTAAATATGTTACATAAAGAAAAAAAATATAGAATTCTATATAGTACAGATAAATTAATGATAAATGTAAGTCGTAAATTATAAATTTATCAAACAAAAAAAAACTTTAAAAGCGTCATGCATAACAATATAATTATGTCATTTGATAGGAAAAAAATGTGAGTTATAAGATAAAACACAGGAACACACGCAATTGGTTCACAGCGACGGAACTGCTTGTCACTTACACGCGTCTCCTATATAAATATGCATAAATATATACGAAAAAAAATACCATTATAAAAGATGAAAAATGTTTTATAATCAAGTACACGGAATAGCTGTTTTATTCTCAGTGCAAAAGACGAGTAAAAATCACGATTTGTTTTAAGATGAACTGTACAAAAAATCAATAAAAAAATTATGAACTTTAAACACTTGACTTTGTTTGCGTTTGAAATTTGTATGTGGCAGAAAGAAATAAAACATCACTCATCCCTGATACACTAATCAATTTTGATGTAATTGCGTTTCGATAGTGTGTGCGCTTGCGAAATTCTGTGATGGTGCACGATGGCGTTAATTCACCAATTTGATTTTCAGCAGTGCACCATCTCACTTTCGCGCACGCGCCCCCGGCTGTCGTCAATCAACCAAATCCCTGGCGTAGATTTTGTTGATATACACAATGCCACAATGAAAGTCCCGAGAGTTCGCGTGATACGCCGTCGTTATTTTCGCGCTTGCAGTATTACCGGAAAATATAACGCGCGTTTGCCCAATCGTATAAACACCTATCATAGCGTCGTAATCGTCATCATCATCATCGTCGCCTCAACTGGATCGCTCGAAATTTAAGTGTACTATAACGTTTCCTTTCATTGGGCCATTACCCATTTCAATCAAATTGTCTCGGTGCCTAGTTACGATAAATAACCTATATACGCCCAATGGAGAATCGATCGGTCGATTATATCAAGCTCGCATGCAAACCCTTTTCCCGAAATATCGCGCTGGCTTCTCTGCCCGACGGAATGTGCAATTAGAATCATAGTTTTTATCACTCCACCTTAACGACGTATATTAAAGCCAATAATTAATGCATCTTAACTAAGCTTCGAATCTCATAAATAATAAAAAAAAACCTCATAGCGACATTAATTAATCTTGAAAAGTCATGTGTGTATTATGCGTGTATAATTACTCAGAATATGCCTCCATCGCTTCTTACGATACATAGATTTTGCCCCCCGCGCTACGAGCGGCAGCGGGTGACGAGACTATAATGATAAAACCTCGAGTTAAATAAGCTTGTCTTTTTCAATAGAATACTTATACTCATAGTGGATACGTAAAGGATAATACGCTGCAATAGATCATTTTACTATACCCGTACAGAATACACATAAGTATAGCCGACGTACACGAGATATTATTATATTAAAGTGCAAATTGATCGCGTTGTGGAAGCCAGCGTTCGCGGATAGTTCCTCATGAAAAATTCCTCGTTCATTTTTTTTTCACTCATGTACATATTATGCGTTTTTGAAATCAGACTATACGCGAATAAGGATTGTAAATGTAAAAAAAACTATATAATATATTTATTTATGTCTGTGATAAAATGGAAAAGTGTAGAAGAAAATTAAACGCCAGTATATACAATATGGGAGACGCGTGGAGCCAAGCCTCGACGGAATAGTAATGTTTACACACGTATTATACACTTGCAAACACACGATAGCAATTTTCCCTATAATAATAGATGACCGACTCATCGTTGACGTTTCTTTTTCTTAATTATCACTGTAAATACAGCGAGTTGTTTCATCTCGCCCATCTCTTGTCTACTTGTCTCTTGAAAAAAAAAGAGGAAAAGAAAAACAGATGCAACGCGAGAGACGATCAGAAAATACGATAATTGCTGTGAATATTAAAGCATATCTTCTATGTAGCTGAGAACGCGGTGGAGCGCCAAAAAAGAGGTTTTTTACGAGGTTGCCGAAAAAACAAAGCCTCGCTCCTGATTTGGTTGCGCTTGTTCTGGTGAGCTATATATTGTACATTACGAAATGAAAAACCGAGTGGTGTGAAGAGTAAACAAAAAAAAAATTGTAAATAGTTGTGAATGTGAATGTATAGATAAAGCGAAGCAAAAATTATATTATATCTGTGCGCTATTACGATAACTATACGATAAACTTAAAAAAAAACCTATCGATATTATATAACGAAGAAGAAAAAAATAAAAGAAAGAGAACGCAGTGACAACGCATCACATAAAAATATTATTATATTATTATTGTCTATTTCAATTATGGATTCATATTATTCATTAAAAGAAACAAGAAACTATTACGTTGTGATATGCTCGTTTTTGATCATTTCTGATCTTCCACGCACCCCCAACGAATTTTCCTGCTATTAGTCCTGTGCTAACGCCTTCGTTTTGCAATTCAAAGATATACCCCGCGAGCGCAACTTTAAATACGTACAGTGGTTTAAACTTTGTTCGTGAATATACCACCCACCTTAAAATATCACGCAGTCGCACGCGCGAGTATCGGCTACTGCTCCAGCCACAGCTACCGTCTAAGTGTGTAGCTTTTTCCATATACATAAATATACATAAGGAATTCGTGGCACGTATAGCAGCAGCAGCAGTAGCTCGGCGTTAGGACTGCGGAAAAAAGTGTACACATTGCAAGGAGAGAGAGAGAGAGAGAGAGAGAGAGGGCGCATTCGTTCGGCTTTAAATACATGCCGTAGCGAACAATAGCTGCTGAAAAGGGTATATAAAAATGATCGTGTATAGGTACGTGTATGTATATATACTGACCCCTGGCTTTTAACACATATAATAGCTCCGTGAGTAAGAAGAGGAACAATAGGCTTCGTTGCGTCGCGGCCTGCTAGGAGAGGCCTCTGCGGACGCGAATTTCGATTATACACACGCCGTATCTTGGATGCTCTTGCTACACCCGATGCATATACTCAAAGAATATACCGTATTACTCGCGCTAAACGAGCTTTCGAATTTACCCACGAAGTATAAAAAAAACCTAGACACACACAACAGCGAGATTGCACCGCTTTTCGCGTGACGCAACGGAGCGTCGCTGAGGCTTTGGGGCAGGCCACAAGAAAAAAAAATATTATGCCTAAAGCCAATGAGTGCAACGCGGAAGAACGAAATACGCCTAGAACATCCTGGCACTGAGCCATATAAATCTCGCATAACAGCAGCAGTATTAGCACGGTAATAGCAATTCGTTCGTTGTCTCTCATTATTCGAGTAATTTAGAGTGTGTGTCTGTTTTTTTTGCCGCTTCTCGGAGGTTTCTTCTCTTTTTTCCCCCATTCATTTGTGACTGGACTATGTGATTGGATAATTGTCGTTCCCCGCCTCATGCCGTGTGCGCTATACCTGGCTATTATTAGAATCGCGTGCGCGCGCGATGGATTTTTATTCGCCGCTGCTCGCGAGCTCGCTCGAGAAAGAAGCGTCAGGGTGCATTAATAGCACACGTTGCAATTTTGACGGCTCATTTGGCACGCGGAATATATACGCTAATTCGCTATACTCTTGACATGCTTTTTTTGAAAGGAGTCGTGTATTTTGTCAGTCGCTTGACGTAGCAAAAGAAAAAAAAACCATCCAAAGAAAGGAAGGAGAAAAAGAAGAGCACGCGGAACTTTGCCGAACGACCGAGACTCGCTCGCGCCTACGCGGCTCGGCCATTTATATATTATATTATATTATACCGTGCATATCTTAATTTATAAAATACGCGCACGCTCGTGTGCCTGGGAAGATTGCAATCGATATTATATACGCGAGCTTTTGCGCGACTACTCCCACGAGCAGCGGCTGCAGCAACGCCGAAATATTACTCCAGGATTCATAAATTCCGATTGATGCACGCGCGGCAGCAGTACGCAGCAGCGAGCGCGAATATATATATAGAGAAGCCCGGCCATATAAGAAAGTGCAGCGCTAGCTCGATCTCAACTTTACAAACAACATCTATACCGTATACGTATATCCTTTTTTTTTTGTACCCTCCATCCACCTTCCTTCCTCTTGTTTTACTCATCGCAGTGATATATATTATAGGTATATATGAAACTGTTCGCACGATGTGGGAAAATCGCATCTTATACGCGTTGGATGTGGTATTTTTTTTCTTTCTCATTATTGTTTTGTGCTCACAAGTTGCGTATGTATATAGGAAAACTTGGTAGACTTCCTACGCGCCAACGAGCGACAATGCTGAAAATTTATATTCATGCAGTACACCGTTACGGAAAATCTTAAATTTGATCAAGAATCAATGTAAAATCGAACATGAAAATTGTAGTAATCGATATCGAATTTTGATCAATGTACTTTTTTCACGTTAAAGTGAACATCAATTGATTTTTCAGATATACTATTCGGTTATGGATCAGCGCCCGAAGCATCTCAATAATGTACTACGTATTACGTGTACACTTGCTACATTTCTCTTGTATTCATATGCTTTAC